TTGGCTATTAGCAGCCTTTGGAGGTAGAATCCTAGCTGTGACTCTCAAAGCTATTTCTCCTCCATGTTGTTGAGTTGTTTCAGTTGTGTCTGACTCTTCATGACCCCATTTGGAGTTTTCTTGGCAAAGATACTGGAGTGGTTTGCCATTTCCTTCTCCAGCTCATTTTACCTACAGATGAGGAAACTGAGGCAAACAGGGTTAAGTCACATGCCCAGGGTCACACAGCTAGTAAGTGTTTGAGGCCAGATTTGAACTCAGATAGATGAATCTTCCTGATTCCAAGTCCAGTGCTCTCTCCACTGTGCAACCTAGCTGCCCATGAGGCTGATATTATGGTGTGACCCCGACACATTGCAAAAAAGTGGGTGAATCTACTTGGAGAACCAAGGCATAGTTTTTGTGACAGTAGGGTATCTCTTGCAATCGATTTTTCAACTGAAAAAATTGAAGCCATGTCAATATCATTTTGTAATTTGGTTCAACTCAGGGTTCAGTTTGAATCAATGAGCATTCATAAAACCCAGTATGCCCAGCACTGTGTTAGATACCCTGGGCAGCACAAGAGGATGCAGCTGCTATCCCTTGGTAGCTTATCATCTGTTTGGGGAAAAAGACACAAGATACAATGAAAGAACAGTTCAAAGGTGTCTCTAAGCAAGGGCGTGATGTAGTAGGACAGACCATGCTCAAGTCTTAAAGAAATTCAAAGTAATGGAAACATCATTGTGAGTGAGATGATAATCAGAAAACGTTTGATGGAAGAGGTTAATCTGGAAGATGTAACTAGGATTTGGCTTTGCAGAAATGAAAGCAAAGACAATTACAAACAGAAAAAAAAAAATAGCATGATTGAACGCATGGATGTGGGTATGAGTGTTGCATGTTTGGCAGGCTGTGAGGAGACCAACTGGCCGGAATGGAAGATGGGTGTTGGAGAGTAATGGAGAGGTTGGAAAGCTTGGTAGGGTTAATTGGTAAAAAGCCTTGAATGCCATACTGAGACTATAAAATGAGGAAGTATATCTGGATTTGGAATCAGGAGAGCTGGATTCAAACACCCCCTTAAGTAATTACTAGCTAGTGTGATGTTGGCCAAGTTACTAACCCTCTCAAAGACTGCTTTCTCATCTGTAAAATGGCAATAATATTAATTGTATTATCCACAATGTCTATACAGCATCTTGCAAATATTAAAGTACAATATAAATGTTATTGTTAAGCTCCATTACTAGACTATAAGTACCTTGAGGGCAGTGGCTTTTGTCTTGTAAATGTTTGCTGAATTGACTGATAGGCAATCTAAGGAGAATTCATAATAAAAAGCCATTGTAGGTTGTTTGTTTCATTAGGACAGTGACGTGATAAAAACGTTATTTTAGGAAGGTTAGTCTGAAAATATTGTGCAGGGTATGTTAGAATTTGGAATGACATATATTTCAAGGAATGACAGAACTCAGTTACAAGTTAAATATTGAAGGGGAAAAACTGAAGGACAAACCCTAGAAATGGAGAGAACAGAATCTCAGGGTTGGAAGAGACCTCAGAAGTTATCTAGTCCCATCCATGCCTTACTGGTAACCCCTCCCCCCCATAATATGGCCTTCCAACCTCTGCTTAAAGACCTCCAAATAAGAAATGCACTGATAATACTAACTTCCATTTATATAGCACTTTAAAACTTACAAAATGTTTCCTGTGATGTAGGGAATATAAAGATTGCTCCCATTTTATAGATGAGAAAAATGAGGCTCAGGAAAGCTAGACCATGGTCACACTGCTAGTAAATATTGGATTTAATATTCAAACACAGGTCCCTCCCTACTCTATTTTGTGTCTTACACTGCCTTTTGCAGAAATGAGAAAATGGGGGTGAGGTAATGCATTTGTGTAAGTGGCCAGATATTCAAGGTTCTGAAAGCAGCTGGGCTGGGGTTCAATGTGGACCTGGGAGTCATCAGCATGAAAATGGCAAGAAAAACTTGGATAGTAAAAAATGGGATTATAGAGCACAAATAGAGAGATTAGCTTTAGGGAGGGATCTTTATTTTAAAATTATAGTACTGAAAGTGATTTTTGGAAAGATGCTGAATCTTTTCCCATCTTCAAGCATACATGAACTTGAACCATTCCTCACTCCCAAATAGCTTGCTGTACCTTCTCTAAGATTACCAAAGAGGAAAACTCTACCTTCCCTTTCAGCATGGTTTGTGAGGCTCAAATGAAATAAGAGAAGTGAAGCACTTTGCAAGCCTGAAAATGCTCTGTAAATGCCAGCTGCTGTTGCTGTTGTTAGCCTTCAATCACCAGGCCTCTGGTCTAGTGCTGATTTCATCCCCTAAGTCTTCTGCATTCCTGCTGAGCTCAAACGATGTTTATAGAGCAATAGGATGTGTGCTGGGAAATATTTAACAAGTGGGCTGGGGTGGGGGGGAATATATACACACACACTTTTAAATTTAATCTGCATCATTAAATTTTCTTGAGTCTAAAGAATCAACAAAACAATAAATCAGGCCCTGATTTGTAGATTTCTGAGGTGTAAATGATCACACTGATAATTTAACCATCAGCTTTGGCAAGCATTAGAGCTGGTTCTGGTAAACCCTTGATGTTTAAGCAATCTTTACCATTGTTTAAATAAACATTTCATTTGTGAAGTTTTTCCTAATATCTAACTTAAATCCCTCTTGTGGCTTCTAGAATTATAATTTCAGAGTTTCTCTCCTTTTCAATAATATAACAATTATTCCTCATATTATCCTTTTTTTTAATTTGAAGATAGTTTCCCTGCATCTTTTGCCTTAAAATCATTCAGTTGCACCCACCCCCACCCCTTCTCCATAGTGACTAATCCTGGTTCCCCAACTCTGGGTTTACCAGACAGCCCACTTACCTTTTTGAGTCACACATGTTCTTGCCAATGGCTTTTACCCCATTTCTTGAGTGAAAGTCACCCCCACTAGGAAATTATTTTTCAGAACTGGGAGCGACTTTCATAGACATCCAGTCCAACCTATACCTAAGAGAGACAGCTAATGTATCTGACGTTGGTCAATCAGACTCTTCTTGAGGAATATGGTTTCCTCCTTTCTTAAGGAGAAATTAACCTATGTTCCACCCTAAAATAGCTCCAAACGTCAGGAAGTTTTCCCCTAACAATCAAACTTCTGTCTCTTTGCAACTGGCCACAAGAACACAACTGTCTGTTCTCGGAAGGCAAGGAGGACAAATCTAACCTCTCTTCCTCACAAACATCCTTGGAGTGCTTAATTGTCCCATTTTTGTTTTTGTACAGTCCTGTCCGACCCCCCCCCCCCCATTTAGGGTTTTCTTAGCAAAGATACTGGAATAGCTTGTCATTTTCTTCTCCAGCTCATTTTACAAATAAGGAAACTGAGGCAAACAGGGTTAAGTGACTTGCCCAAGGTCACACAGCTGTGTCTGAGGCCAGATTTGAACTCATGAAAATGACCCTTCCTGACTTCAGACCCGACACTCTGTCCACTGCTCCACTGAGCTGCCCTATGTCCCACTTAAGTCTTACCTTCTATTCTTATAGCACCTAGGTCCAACAAGCATAAAGTGGTTTTCCTCTTTCCTCGATCCATTATCAACCCCTGATCAACCCCCCTTGCCTGAGTCCCTTCACTCCAACTTCCCTCACTCCAGCACTGAGGACTTTTAGAGAGGATGAGAACAACGGACAAGTCATGGTCTGTGTAGACTAGGTGTATACCCAGCAACCTTGGGGGTAACAGTTCATTGTGGAGGTGCATTGCTGGAGGTTTTTCTGAAGAAATCATACCAATGTGTCAGAATATCGAAACCTGCCGTTCCCTCTCTTACCGCTGTCCTGGCTTCTGCCAACCCCCCAGCCCCAGGATCTCAGACACCCCAAATTTACACACACACACACATGCACACCAGTTCATGCCCGGAGAGAGAGCCCAGTTAGACTAGGAGATACATCTGCTCAGCGGTTTTAGTTGCAAAGCCAGGATGTTATCATCATTACTGAGATGAAAATTCTGTTCATATCTCTCCTCCAGGAGGGGAAACAAACCCTTTTTTCGGCTGCGGTTCTAATTTAATAAGTGTCTGGGGTTGGGGGTGGGGGTGGGACCTGTGCCTTTACTGATTCGTTTAATCAGGTTTCTGAGTTTTTGGGGCAGGGGCGGGGGCGCAGGCTTACCCTCCTTCAGCCCGCGTACGCCCCTCCTGATAACAGGTGGCTCTGCCCAGAGGGGCACGGGCTTCGCTGGGCTGGGTTACGTTGGGTGGGCGGAAGGGAGATTCACATCTAACTTTAAAGGAACTGGCGTCGATTTGCCAGGAGGGCCCCCGAGTGCTTGGTGCCTGAACCAGGGGAAAGAGAGAGGCTTAGGGGGGAGGGATAGGGGAAGAGGAAGGGAAAACAATAAGACTGTTTATATATCCCTGCCTATATTTAGAATTTAGGCAAAGGCCCCATCTTTTAAAACCAAAGCAGAAAGCAAACAAGTTGGAAAGGGGCAGGGGGTAGAAAAGGGGGAGGAGGTCTGCTTCAAACATCTGTACTTCAGGGGTGTAAGAGGACAGCAGGGGGCAGGGGGAATGTTGTCGGTGTTCACATCTTGGAAGGCCAGTTAGCTGCCTGAAGAAGCAGGCTAGTCTCCACAGGTAGGCATCGGAAGGAGGCAGATTTGGGAATTTAGGTTTACTATAACAAAAAAGAGCATTCTATCTAATAGGCTTGTTCACCAAAACGCCAGCCGGCTACCTTGTGAGACAATGGTATTCCCATCCGCGAATGCTTTCAAAGCATGGAGATGTCTCCGATTCCTGTATTGGGTGGGAGGTTGCACTTGTAAAGCACCTTCCAATTCTCAGACTCGCTGAGTGGGCAGAGTCTATCCTGCAGACTGAGAAGAAACGAGCGCCGGGGCTCCCAGGGCTGGCCAGGGAGCCCGCTGCCCTAGAACAGTGGTTGGGGAGGAAGAAAAGAAACAAGAGAAACTTGGCTCTTGGCCGTAGGGGAGCGTAGAGGTGTGAAAAGAGGGGGAGGAAGATAAAGAGAAGGGTGAGGAAACTGGGGCTCTATCCTCCTCCCCGTGATGATTCAGACTGGCTCCCCCTGCCCTTTTCCCTACACCAACAACAGTCCCTGGAAGATGGAAAAGCATGCAGATTGACAGTATGGACGCAAATCCCCGAGCGATTCTCGGTATGCATGGTAGGACATTTCCCCAAGTGGAAGGGTGGGACTTTCTAGAGCAGTAGGTTGACAGTTGGAATGAGGCAAAGTGATGGCTGCAGCAGCAGCAGCTAGGGTGCACCTGTGTGTGTGTGGCCCCCAACTCCCCATCCGTTATTTTGGCCCCACGGATGCTCACCTAGCCCCAGAATTCAGCACCGTGAAGGCCTGAATCAGGCAATCACCAGCTGTGTTGAGCACTGCAAGAGAAATCCTTTCTCGAGGATTCATTTTTATAATTTCTTTCTTCTACAGCCCTTTGATTTATGTCTTTCCTTTAAAGGAGCCCAATGCCGACTTAAACTCCTAGACAGGCAAGGAGGCCAGATTTTGGAAGTCAGAAAATATTCATAATCGTGGAATCGAGAATTTGAATAGAATACAAAACATGTATCTTGAGTGGTTTCCAAGAGTTATCCCAGCCCTAGAAAAAAAAAAAAAGTCCTCAAATTTTGCATTTTCTGAATTTAAATTTTAGCCAAGTTAAATTTTCCACGTGTGCCTTTCTTACCCAGACTACTTTTATATCTGTGTGTGCACATAAATAGCGATTTATTGATGGATTCACAAAAGGGTTTTGAAAACCTTGGCCTTCAGCTGCAAACACTTCCAATTTTGTTAGTTGTGAAGGTTTGCTGGAGGTCATTCCAAATGGAATTTCCTCCCCCCCCCTTAATCCCCTCCCCTCCTCACCAGATCTGAGTCGATGAAGCAGACTTGATTCTCTCTGTAACAAATCAAATTATAAAATCCTGAGTCTCAACAACTAAAAGTCATAGGTTGTTGCAGTTGAGTTTTATATTTGTTCCTGGGCTTTTATTAGTGAATGATGATGAATTTTAGAGATCTGGTTATCTTGGAAATGAAATGTGAAAGGCTAGCTGTTCCTGGGAGAGGACAGGTGTAGGCTTTGCCGTGAAGAAGGCGCTGTTTGGACAATGAAATACACCAGATTGAAAAATGGTTGACCCAGTATTTGTCCGCCTTAATTACAAAACTAAATCTACTTCACACACACACACACACACACACACACACACACACACACACACACACACACAGAGTTCTAAGAGCTCTAAAACTGAAACAGCTGCTGTCTCTTTCTCCTAAAAATTCCCTCTGGCATATCAAAAATGATCTCACAACAGAAAATCCAATGGAACTTTAAGCTTCTGTTTGATAAACTAGTCATTTGGTCTCCTGTTTCTTCTAATCAAACAGTTTCTATTCATTCAAATTTGAATCATTCCCGGGATGGTACTGATCTCACTCATCCAGCCAATTTCAAAAGCTGTATTTCTATTTCTAACCCTACTTAGAGATTTCAGTTATAGGAACTCCTTGTTTTGGGTTGTGATTTGTTTTGTGTGTTTATATACAGCTGCTCAAAAACTCAACCCAGTTTTCTGGCTGGCTGGGAGTGAGAAAGTCCTTTATTATTATTAACTACCATCACAATAACTAGCTAGCTTGGGAAACTTTGGGAGCTGCTGACAACTTGCTAAAATAGAAATACAATTCAAATTACTGACTTGGGGAGCAGAAATATTGTAAATTCTTATCACCTATTCTGTTTAAATTTTTAGCTGTGGGTAGGAGGGTAGAGAAGGTGATTTGCAGGTGGGGAGGGGTGCCAATTGGAGCTGCTTTAACATACAAGAGTGGCATCCCTCTTCAGATTTTCGACAAGCTGTCAGCAAAGTAGAGAGGGCAAAAGAATACTTAGTCCTGAAATGGTGGGCAGCCCATTGACCTGGGCTCACTGTGTTCCTTGGAACTTAATTGAGAACGTGAGATCTTATGCCCGTTTTTGCTAGGTTATCGGCAGACCTTCTTTTAGGAGTCTTTGTATTAAATTGATTGATCATCTCCCGATGGCCAGGGCAGGTGTTTTGGTTCATTGTCAAAGTGCCCATCAGAGAAACCTATGTTGTGGAAGGTTTGAAAAATGGTTTCAGTGGAAAAATTGACTCTGTTCAACAATAAATTACAATGATATTTTGTATTTATATAGCACCCTTCAACCGAGGGAGCTCCCAGTGTTTTATGGATATTAACTTGCTGATCCTCACAATAGAGAAAAGATAATTTTGTTGATTTAATATTTTGGCATCTTTATTTTTCTGGAAGGGAGTGAGAACATTAGATATTACAGTGAAGTTTTCTCTTATTAATTTGGAGGCAATACCTTCCTTTCATTTCTCCTTTGGAAAAACCTTTATTATTAGACATCACATAAGAAATTAAAAATGAATAGCGATGTCTAAAATAGCGATGTGTGTGTATGCATTTATATGTCTGTGTGGGTATGGTATCTACATAAATATTTAATTTTTATGATCTAAGCTTTCTCCCTCCGTTTTCATGAGCTAGAATTTATTAGCTGCTGAACAGTGGGCCTATTATTATTTGCTTTTGTACCTAAATGATTTAAAAGTCAATTATGAATTGGTTAAGGGGATTGGTGAGCTATGGTGTGTAATATGGGTCTTGCAATTTCAATTTGTTATCAAATGTCTGGAATGAGGAAGGTGTTGGGGGGGTCAGGGGTGGGCGAGTATTGTAGCCTACAGCCTAATAGTACCAATATCAAGACAGACCGAGGCTCTAGGTCACTGGGAGATAATCAATTCAGTCAGGTTTTATTGTTGGAGCATTTTGTATGTGTATGTATGCGAGTACAGAGGGGAGGACAGGTGCACACACATAAATCTGAGCACTAAACTGAGATGCTAGGACTGCCTAAAGTACCAGGACGAAAAACAGATCAGCCTAGGGAAAGTATGGTTGTCCCTAAGGCACTCTAATCCAATAGGTTGTGGTGTCTGCAACACTGGTGGCAATTAGGAAAATTGCCAACTAACTTGGGACCCAACTCCAACCTCAGCCTTAGCTTCAGGGAAGGCATGTAAACTTTTATGGCATTTCCTATTTATCTGCAAAGTGTCTGCCTCCTGTATCATGGTGGGTAGAAAAATGCTCTGAGAGGAAGTAATAACCTAATACAATGGAATTATTGGTTAGATAAATTCCCCAGTGAATCTATATTTCTTGATCATTCCAAAAGGGGGTTTTTGGGTGGCCCAATAAGTACAAAAGAGGGGGCATGGGAATGTAAATCACAACCCATAATTTATGCATTGAGTCCTCAGATTGGTAATTTTTTTGTTTATTTTCACTTGTGTTTGTCTAAAAGATATATAAAGACTAGACTATGGTTAAGCTTCAAAATACCCAGTGGCTAATGGTGAGCCATTGTTCAAAACAAAACAAAACAAAAAACTTCGATAACATTCTAAATAAAAAACTGGATCTCCGTGTGGAATTGTTAGTGAGAAAAAGAAACATTATGATGACATTCTTTATCCTCTACCTGGTTCGATTTCTAGTGGAATTCAGCAGGTTTGTTATTCTCTGAAGGATCTTAAAGGAAGAGAAGAACAAGTCAGTAGTGTGTGTGCGTAGAAAGAATGATAACGCCAGTTCATATCCGCCTTGTTTGATTGCAACAAATGGTTTCTTTCTCTCAACAATAATAATGATTTTTATTATTACTTTACTGTTATTATTATGTATTTCAGTGCTTTTGATTTCATTTGTGTTGGTATTCATTCACCAGCTACCTAGGGATAAACCTCCCCATGCTGAGCAAGGCTGCTCCTCTGAGGACAGACTTCAGTCTGTCCTTTACTATAGGTCAAGCCTTTTCAGGTCAGGAGAAATAGTCTTGGAGCATCAGAGCCAAGGTCACCTTCATTCCGTGATGAGGTATAGGAGTGGGACTTCAGGAGAAGACTGTCATCATCATTATTGTTATTGTTATAATGAATACCTCCCATTTGGAGGGCACTTCGTGATTTACAAAGCACTTTCATGTTCTGATCACCAGTTCTCAAATTAACCTGGTCCTGTTCCAATTCCACCATAGCGTATGAAGAGGATCAGGTATATTTCCAACGTAAAACTATTCCTTTGGCTTCCTTAACTCTGTAATACATGATTCTTTGCTTTTTGATGGTGTCATTTATTGATTTTTCTACCTTCTGGGTATAACTTTATTTTTCACAATTAAAGTCAATATCTTCCACTAAAGTCTTGCTCCCATGCCATCGTGGCATGGAGGTGACCATGGAGTCTTGAAAATTATACTGATAGAAAAACAAGTTCTAGTAGGAATAGTCTTTGAGCATCATCCTGCTTCCATGAAGTGGGAAACACTTTGAATGTAGGCCCCACCAACTAGGCCATGCCATGTGTCTTTCAACTTTGGGACTAGAGCTAGCTAAAGACAGAGGTGCCCCTCGACCAAAGCCAGACCACCAAGTGTCTCATTTTTCTAGCCCCAGCAATTCATCAGAACTTCCTAGTAAAACATAGAGGGATTGTGATCTACAGGAACAGAGGAATTATCCATATCATGCCAGTGAAATTATGGATCTATGAAATAGGTAAAGTTAATTTAAGGTTGTTTTCCATATTGCAAAAGAAAGCTTAAGATCCTTTGAGATCTCCTCAGGGATCATAAAAACAAATGAGCAAGATGGAAACCCAGGATTTTAGGTTATCATTTGGTCTTCAATGACACTAACACTGTGTAACATAAAGATTAATTTGCAATTAATATCTAAACCATCTTTCATCCTCCTGTAAGCCCGATAGCATAGTGATTTTTTTGTTTGTTTCTAGGCAGGTTATCACCATCTCTACAAAACAGCTTGAGAAGTGTGTGAAGGGGGAGACAGCGTGGGTTTGGAGTTTTATTTTTTAATTTTCCTAAGCAATACTATTAACATTTCTCCTTTTGTGAGAGCTAATAATGAGCTGTACACAGAACCTTGCAAGGCGGCTGAAGGTCCCACAGCCTTAGCCTCCAATGAAGTTAATAAAGTTTAAATTTCATACTGAGTGGCTAGTTGATAACAGAATAAATCTACTATGTTGTCAGCAGGATGAACCAGAAGAGCAGAGCTCCAACGAGA